ATAAGATATAAATTTATTAAAATTTATAAGTATAAAATATATTTAATATGAATATTTTTTTAATAAAAATAAATAAAAACCGAGTCATGCGGTTCAACTAGTGACCCACCGGTTCAACCTTTGACCTACTGACCCAGTACCTTAACCGATTCGATAACCGGTCCGGTTTTTAAAACTATGAATTAGAGTATGACAATCCTATGATTTTGTAAAATCAGAAAGTCAATCACCAGATTCTTTAAAAATTTCAATGTAACTACTGACTATTTATATGTGATAATATTAGTTGGGATTTGATTAACATGATATCTAAACAAAGAATACACTGTAAATGATTTTAAATATAAAAAATAACTAAAGCATAAAATTTAAAGATGTAAGGAGATTTACATGAATAATATTTTATAATATATGTGCCAAAAACAAATTATGTCAATGTAAATATAATAATATCATGTGTAACATGTTAAATTATTATATGTTATTGGATAGATTGGAGGTGCCGCTCATGGTGATCCCGAGATTCCTGGATCAATAGTAAATATATATTAAATAAGTATTGTATAATATAATTAATATATATATATATATATATATATATATATATATATATGTGTGTGTGTCAAAAACAAAATTTGTCAATATTTTTTTTTATATCATTATGAAAGATAAAGGGCAAAAGTATACTAGAACCGGGATGACATAGAATCAACCCCTAAAGCAAATAAAATAAAATTTGGAGGACTCCTCCATGAAACAATCGAGTTCAAATGTTGGAAAACCCACCTTGCTAGAGTATGGGCCACATAGTTGATTTCGCGAGAGATACAAACAAACTCCACCTCCAAAGCTTGGGAACACTGATCTGCCAACCTCCTAACAATATCATAGTATTTATTGTTACGGGTTGCATCAATTGTCCCGTGGCGGAGGTTAGGTGGGCCAAGTCACTGTCGAATCATGGCGCTTGGGCTCCTACACTTTTAAGTAAAAAGAGTTGCGCCCTGACTATCAGCTATAGCTTTTGGCCTAGTGGTAAGCGCTCGATCCAACATTTATGTCTAAGTTGAGCCCCTCGCCTTGCACACATAGCTATTTTGATAACACCTAGACAATCGGATTCGCAAATAACCTTCTAACACCCCTCCTTCCAACAAAGCTCAAGGCCTTCGACAACTGCTAGTAGTTCTGCCCGGAAGGGGTCACTGCCTTAGAGGCCAACTGCAAACCCAAGTTTCCATTCCCCTACTGAATTTCACACAACACCACCAGCCCTCATAGCATTAAGTTGGGGAACAAAATTGCCATCTACATTAAGCTTAACCCAAGATGGTTCTAGGGGACTCCATTGAACGTTTACCTGCCACAATTTACATTTGGCAAGATAAATCTGGTTTTGCACCCAAGTTTCTTCAATCTGATGATACAAGTAAGACAGGGACCACATTATTACCGAGAAATGTCATGTTATTCCGAAACCTCCAAAGCCACCAAAGTAGATTAGCTAAGACAACCACTTGAGGATGTAGTATGATTGATCGCAGCTAAGCTACACACTCCATCTCAGCAAAGGAAATTTGGGACATGAGAGCAGAATCAAACCACACTTGACGAGAGTGTGGACAATCTCGAAGGGAATGGATGATGGACTCTAGACTATAGGAACAACGCGCACAAGAACTAGAGGGAGCCAAATGGCGCCTATAACGAGCATGGTTGGTAGGCAAAGCCCCATGCAGCCCTTGCCAGAGGAAAAAGCTAATCTTAACTAGCACCTCCAACTTCCAAACTCTTCGCCAAATCGCATTAGGAGTTGAATGAGAGGCATACTCCAAAAATTTGACTCTAGATGACACTATGTAACAACCTGAGGCTTCACCTATCCAAGCAAAAGTATCTCTGCCACTCTGAACCAACGGAACTTGCACCTGTTGAACCCTTGTCGCAATTTCTGAGGGAAGTACCATACTCAATGAGTCAAACTTCCATCTCCCTTGTTCCCAAAAACTAGCCACATTTCTATCTAAATCAGAAATATGTACGAATTGAACCAGACGACCCAAGGCTCCCACTCCCATCCAATCATCAAACCACATGGAGGATTGCCCATCTGCTAGACAGGGCTGGAATCCCTCCCGCAGCTTCCCCATTGCTTTCACAATGCTAAGCCACACTTGAGAACTTCCCCTCTGCTTAGTGGCACATAGAATTGACTGACCATTAAGATATTTTTGAGAAAGAAGGCGAACCCAGGGTTTGGTTGGATTTTCAACAAAATCCCACAACAACTTTCCTAATAATGCAACATTCATGGTACGAGTTTCGCGCAAACCCAAACCACCATAATCCTTAGACTGTGTAACTACCTCCAAACCAACATGGAACCAAAACCTTGAGCCGCCATTATTGGACCAAAGCAAGGACCGACATGCATGGTTAACCTTATTGCAAACTGCTGATGGTAGCTAGAGAGAGTTCATGTTGTACACATGCATTGCTGAGACTGTTGACTTGATCAGGCAAAACTTTCTAGCCTTATTTAAAAGCTTTCCTTTCCAGGAGGCAAGGCGAACATTGATTTTATCCACTACACCATGAAAATATGCTATCTTAGATGACCCTATAATCATTAGCGTGCCTAGATATTTCTTGATCCGAGTAGTGTGATGAATACCAAGTATATCTTCTAGCTTTTCCACCTGCATTTTATCCACTTTCTTCGAGACCACGACTTTGGACTTGTCCAAATTAATTTTTAAACCTGAAGCCTCAAATAACTCCATTAGGACGTGGTTCACCAACTCAACCTGGTTCACAGAAGCTTGGCAGAAAAGCATTACATCATCAACGAAAAATAAATGGGTGAGCTGTAAACCTCCCTGTGACAATGATAAAGGATTCCAAATTCCTGAAAGGTGTAGTTCAGAAATGCGCAATGCTAATCGTTCCATGTAGAAAATGAAGAGATATGGCGACAGAGGGTCCCCTTGGCGTGAACCACGTTCAGGTACAAATGATGGAAGGGCACCTCCGTTCCAAAGAATTTGAAAAATTTGTATGCTTCACACCCCACATAATGAGTTGGATAATAACCGGAGGAAACCCAAACCTGTTCAAAGTAGCCTCCAGAAACCTCCAACTCACCCTGTTGTAAGCTTTCTCTAAATCAAGTTTCAATACTAGCGAACCCACCCTTGAGTTATTTATGTGGGTGTGAGTTAATACTTCTTGAGAAATAATACAATTGTCTCTTGTGCCTCGCCCAGGAATGAAGCTACCTTGAAAAGGGCCAATAAGATCACCCAAAAAAGGTCTAAGGTGAGCTATCAGGACCTTGGAGATAGTTTTCCAGG